CTTTTGTTACATGTTCTTAGAGTAATGACTCATTGTACTTTAAAATACTATATACTTTATATATATATATATATAAATTATATACTATTATATATGTTATATAATAGTATTATATATTACATTATATATATAATATATATATTAATATGTATTAATAAATAATATATACATACTTTAAAATACTATATACTTTTATATATATATAAAAATTATATACTATTATATATATTAAATAATAGTATTATGTATTGCATTATATATATAATATATTATATATATTAATATGTATTAATATATAATATATACATATTTTAAAATACTATATACTTTTATATATATAAATTATATACTATTATCTATATTATATATTACATTATATATATAATATATATTATATATAAATATATATTAATAAATAATATATACATACTTTAAAATACCATATACTTTTATATATATACAAAATTATATACAATTATATATATTATATAATAGTATATATTACATAATATGTATTAATATATATTATATATATTAATATGTATATAATAATATATTATATATAAAAATATGTAAAAATAAATAATATATACCTACTTTAAAATACTAGTAAGCAGAAAGACATGCTGTAAATTTCATACCAACAATCTTGTGTTGATCTGCAGGATGAAGAACAGCAGGAAATTCTAAATTCAGCAGCATTCATTGAAGAGCAGTATGGCCATTTAATTGACACTGTGCTGGTGAAAGAAGATCTCCAGAGTGCATGTAATGAGCTGAAAACTGTGTTAGATAAACTCAACAAGGATTCATTTTGGGTGCCAGTCAGCTGGGTTAGGTCATAGCTTGTTATCCTGTTTAAAGGAAAGACTGTACAAAAATGTTCTGTAAATACATGAATTAGAAAAGGCAAGTACATTGAATTTGCTTCAGAACTGCTGGTCTTACCTAGAAGGCAATAAATAAAGGCTGTATGAGGAAAGGCTAAACAAAGTGACAAACTGACACTGCCTTTCTGAGTCAAATTCTGAAGGTAATAAATAAAGGCTGTAAGAGGAAAGGCTAAACAAAGTGACAAACTGACACTGCCTTTCTGAGTCAAATTCTGAAGGTAATAAATAAAGGCTGTGTGAGGTGACAAAGTGACAAACTGACACTGCCTTTCTGAGTCAAATTCTGAAGGTAAGAAATAAAGGCTGTATGAGGAAAGGCTAAACAAAGTGACAAACTGACACTGCCTTTCTGGGTCAAATTCTGAATAGCAGCTGTCATTGAGAAGTTGACACTCAGACCAAATAATCCAGTCCAGTCTTCTCCTGATCTTCAGACTGGAAATTGTGCATTTTGTGCATTTTGTTACAGTGGTGTTTCACAGAGGCTCCCACACTGGCAAAGCATTTTGTGCTGGGACACTGACAGGATGGAAGGTTCGTCCTTTGGCCACAAACTTTTGTGGCTGGATTTAAAACCTCAGAATAAAATCCCCTTTGGGAACAAGCTCTGGAGCGGTGGCCGGTGGAAAATAAAACGCCCAGGCTAGATAAGTGTCCAGCCAACCTCCAGCCAGTCAGGCACTTCCCCAACCCGAAGTCAGGGCCTTGTGCCTAAGGCGATGTCAAGCCTTGCGGACGTGTGGCCGCAGTAAAGAGCTCCGAAGTCGCAGGATGAAATGAAGAGGCGACCCTCAGTTCCTTCAGGGAGGGTGGTTTTATCGGTAGGGAAACGTGCAGGTTCAGGTAGAAGGAGCTGAGGGCCCCGAGGCAGGGAAAAGCCTCGGTTTTACAGAGGGTGGGAGGGGTGAAAGATAGCAAATCAGAGAGGGATACATTAAGGATTGGCATGATCGGAGAACCCATCAAACACAGTTGCGGGAGGGACCCTGGCCCCTAACCCAATCACCCGACACCCTGGCCCGAACTCTCTAGAAAAAGAGGCAGGGGTGTCGAGTGACAGGCAGGCTGCCAGGGGTGGGGAATAAGAAAGATAACCAAGACAACTGGGGAGGGGTTTGGGGATTGACACAAACTGGTAACAGGGCAGGACCTTCTGGGAGAACAATGGGGGGAAAACTGAACAAGCATAAAACACACCACAACAAAGCTCCTTCAACAAAGTGTTCTTTGGAGAGAGGTTCCCCAAGTTCAGCTGGCCAGCAAAACCTGCTTCCCTTCCCACTGAAGCATTAATTGCAAATCCTTTCATTAGGCACTAAAAACCAGGCCAGCTGCAGAAGGGGTTTTTGTGTCCCTCACATTTCCCAATTGTCTTGCACAGCTCACAGGTATTGGCTGCTCATCCACAGCTTTTTCCCACTTTCCCAGTCACCTTCTGAGTGTTCCTGTGTGAGTGAGCAGCTCCTGAAACACAGATTTTTATTGTGTACATGAAAACAACTTCATATGGTTCTAAAACAGGACAGTTAAGAAGCTTTGTTTCTGCAAAACATCTTTGTGCTACATGGTGGGGACACAGCCTTGACACCAATGGAACAGCTCCAGAAAGGGCACTCAAAGGAGGAGCCACAGGGCAAAACCATCATCCTTCAGCATTTATGCACTCAAAAGAGGAGCCCCAGGTCAAAACCATCATCCTTCCAGCATTTATACACTAAAAGGAGGAGCCCCAGGTAAAAATCATCATCCTTCAGCATTTATACACTAAAAGGAGGAGCCACAGGTAAAAATCATCATCCTTCCAGCATTTATGCACTAAAAGAGGAGCCACAGGTAAAAACCATCATCCTTCCAGCATTTATGCACTCAAAGGAGGAGCCCCAGGTCAAAACCATCATCCTTCAGCATTTATGCACTCAAAGAGGAGCCACAGGTCAAAATCATCATCCTTCAGCATTTATGCACTAAAAGAGGAGCCACAGGGCAAAATCATCATCCTTCCAGCATTTATACACTAAAAGAGGAGCCACAGGGCAAAATCATCATCCTTCCAGCATTTATACACTCAAAGGAGGAGCCACAGGGAAAAATCATCATCCTTCAGCATTTATACACTAAAAGGAGGAGCCACAGGTAAAAATCATCATCCTTCCAGCATTTATGCACTAAAAGAGGAGCCACAGGGCAAAATCATCATCCTTCAGCATTTATGCACTAAAAGAGGAGCCCCAGGGCAAAATCATCATCCTTCAGTATTTATGCATTAAAAGAGGAGCCACAGGTCAAAATCATTATCCTTCCAGCATTTATGCATTAAAAGAGGAGCCCCAGGTAAAAATCATCATCCTTCCAGCATTTATGCATTAAAAGAGGAGCCACAGGGCAAAACCATCATCCTTCCAGCATTTATACACTAAAAGAGGAGCCACAGGGCAAAATCATCATCCTTCAGCATTTATACACTAAAAGGAGGAGCCCCAGGTCAAAATCATCATCCTTCAGCATTTATACACTAAAAGAGGAGCCACAGGTCAAAACCATCATCCTTCAGCATTTATGCATTAAAAGAGGAGCCACAGGGCAAAACCATCATCCTTCAGCATTTATGCACTCAGAGGAGGAGCCACAGGGCAAAACCATCATCCTTCCAGCATTTATACACTAAAAGAGGAGCCCCAGGTAAAAATCATCATCCTTCCAGCATTTATACACAAAAGGAGGAGCCCCAGGTAAAAACCATCATCCTTCCAGCATTTATGCATTAAAAGAGGAGCCCCAGGTAAAAATCATCATCCTTCAGCATTTATGCACTAAAAGAGGAGCCACAGGGCAAAATCATCATCCTTCAGCATTTATACACTAAAAGAGGAGCCACAAGGCAAAACCATCATCCTTCAGCATTTATGCCCTCAAAGGAGGAGCCACAGGGCAAAATCATCATCCTTCCAGCATTTATACACTAAAAGGAGGAGCCACAGGGCAAAATCATCATCCTTTCAGCATTTATGCACTCAGAGGAGGAGCCCCAGGTCAAAACCATCATCCTTCCAGCATTTATGCACTCAAAGGAGGAGCCACAGGGCAAAATCATCATCCTTCAGCATTTGTGACTACTTCTGTTCCAAATCTGGTAAAGGTTTCCAGAGCATCCAATTGGCCTGAAGAAGAAAACTCTTGGAGGACCTTGTATATATTTGAGAGTTGAATTTAGAGTATTTCTGAGTGGGTCTTAGGAAGATGCAGAGATGATTCTGGAGTAGCTGTGCTCTGTCCTTGGGGGATTTGGGGGCAGAGCCTTGTACAGGTGCATGGTAGCTGTAAGTAGTTCCTGTTCTCACTTGCCTGCTGAGGTCTCATATTTCCTGTGTATTGTGCCCTTTAATTTAAACAAGACCTTTTGGTGTTCCTTCTATTTTACCAGCTCACGTTCTTCTTGTTCCATGACATTTAGCAGAACTAAAAGTTGCATATTAAAAGTACATTTCTTACATACCAGTGTCACTGAATCTACATTATGTCAAGCCCAAAAAGTTGGGGAGAAGAATCACCCCCATCCATCCTCTCCAGATGAGAACTTTCATGTGTGGTCCTGAGCATTGAGGTTCTGTTCCCACTTCTACAAAAACAAGAATTTTTCCCTGCACTTGTCAGTGCTGCAGCTTGGTGACCTCAAAAAATGCTGAGGACTCCTCCACATGCAGTGGGTTTTGTCAGCTCTGCAACCATGTGCTACCAAAAAGGTTTCTTAGAGAGGCAATTCATGACAGATTGTTCCTTGATCCTATGAAAAACTGAGGGAAATATTTTTAAAACTATTTCAGTAACAGCATTTCAAACTAAATCATTTTATGAAAATAATAAATGGCCAGATTGATCTCACCCTAGCTCTGTATTTCAGGTTACAAACAGATTTTTAGAGTCTGAAAGACATGAACATATTTAGAAGATTCAGATTTAAGTTAAAATATAAGGGTCAGAATTTATTTAAAGCTTATCATAAAGTCTTAAAATATTTTGCATGACTAGCAGTAAATAAAGCTGTATATGTGCTTATGATCTAACATAGTCTAATAGTAGAAATATGCATTAACAGAAGCAAGGCACAAGTTACATCTGAAATTTTCAGTTATTTTAATGTAAGTAAGTTAGCAAAAATACAATATTTCCATTAAAAGTGTAAAAGACAAAAGGGTAACTTCATAGTGGGGCTGGTGACAGACTCACCCAAGTGCAAAGTTTCCCATAGGCAGCACATTTTCTGTGAAATTGAGTTTTATCAATTCTGATAACGTTTTTATCAACTCTGATAAAATCTCCAGTTTTATCTGTGGTTGCTGGCAGAGGACAAGGGTTTGCAGAGACTCTCAGTGACTGCAAAACCAGAGCCCAAAATGAGGAGTGCATCCCTGATCCTCAGTGCAAAGAGAACAGCAGTGACCACAGTGTCCTGCACTTTCCCTGACAAGTGTTACAGGACACATCCTCTTCATCACAGCTTTAATTAACAGCTTTAATTAACCAGAACTCAGCTCACTGTCTGGGGACACGTAGCAATTGTGACTTTTTAAAACCATCCAAAATCAGGAAACTGTGGCCACTGATCCAACTCCTGCTGAGTAACAACATGGAGGTAACTTGGGTGCTTCAAAGCCTCCCATGCCATCCAAGGGAAGAGAAACTTCTCAATCATATTCCAGAATTGGATTCCAATTAATTCATGCTGAGGCAGGAATTCTAGCAAAAGTCCATGCTGAATGTCATACAGCAAAGGCACAATTCTCATAGCAGCACTAGGATTTAATAGTGAAAAATCTGAGAGCTACCAGAAAAATACCTGTAGGCAGCAGTTGTGCAAAAGGGAAGGAGAAACTGTATTTTGTTAATGAATAAAAAATGCATTTTGTTAATGAGGTTGTGGTTTGGATCTGCACAACTGATGGCACAGATTGGTGCTTGGAATCCCATCCCACCCCATTTATTTTTCCTCCAGTCAGGCAGAACAGGCAGCTGTGCATTTAAATAAGTGCACAGTAGGCAGCACAAAACCCTTTATGCTGCTGTGCTGAAGATTCCAGCAGCTGCACTCCCTTCTTCCCTGTGCCCTTATCCCAGAGATCTGGAGTCTGCAGGATCTTTATCACCAGCTCCTCAAAGGCATGGTGCACTCCATCCTGTGTCTTGGCACTGGTCTCTGGAGAAGGGGGAAAAAGATTTTATCTCATTACAGGGAGTATATTCCACTCAAAAAACTTTATTTTAGGAGCAGAGAGAAGATGGGAGTTTTTTAATGACTGAACCTCCTCTCCTGTCTCTCTTAAATGTACACTTCAGTTGAATAGGATAAACAGAAATACATCCCAGTCTGAAGTCTCACATTTTTCCACCAAAAAGAAATCCACAGTTCCCCATTTTCTCCATGATGGAGAAAAAGAAATTGTTCTCAGGTTGTGACAGTAAATGTAGAAGATAATTATTCCATAACAAAGCTGAGAAAGAATTGCATGTTGTCCTCTATGTGTTTGAATTTCTCCCAGAAATCTTTTCAAGAAACTTTCTCTTTAGAAACTCCCACCTTTATAGCTTCACATTGTGCATTTTATTGTTGCTCTGAGAATATTGTCTTTTATGTAGCTGCAACAGAAACTTGGAAATGAAAGATCAGGCAAGGTCCTTGCAGACACCAGTAAGGAGGAAAAATTCAATCTTCTGGGCTCTGAATTAAAAAACCCTCCTAGTTTCAAGAGAATATAAAATTCATGCCTGTACAGTGTATGCAATAAATCTGTTTCAGAGAAAAATGCTTCTGGCCAATGCAGAAACTGAAAACTGCATCCCTGCACTGGAATTACAGCAAAAGGAACCCATATTAACTAGGTATTAAAAAAAAAAGGTTTAACAACCCATCAACCTGAAATACAATTGTACATTCATGCTTGGCAATCCCAAAATAAATATTTGAATGTTTAAGGTTTTGCCCCAGAGGTTGATACCTATGAAAAGCAGTGAGTGTTTCCTGGCCAGCTGCAGCCCTTCTTTTCTCTCCACTTCACGGTCAGGCTGCAGGGACAGGTGAAGAACACAACTGAAATAAGCTACACTCAAAAATACCCAGAAAAGCAGCACTGAAATGAGAACAAAACCTCAAAAATGACGTTTTGTTGAAAGGAAAAAATGTGCTATGTATTAATCAACTGGATTTTCCCACTCTGGAGCTCACTGCCAGGCTGGCTGTGTCACCTACAGCACTCACCTCACATTTACACCCTGTGATGAACAAATAACCCAGGGAGAAGGGAAGAGGATGCATTCCCAAACTGACCTTATCAGTTTTATTGCCAACCAACATCTTCACAGTGCTGCTGGGTGTGGTGTACATCTCCAGCTCATTCAGCCACCCTCCCAGTCCTGTGAAAGTGCCTTTTCTTGTAACATCATACACTGAGAACAGAGGAAAAGGAGCTCAACAGCTGCAGAGCCTTGGACAACGTTTCCTTCATTGTGACAGAACTTGGTCCATCCACACTTCCTAACTACAGCCTGGAAAAAACAAAAGGTGCTAGGGAACTACAGAATGAGGCATCAACCTCACACTGCTCCCAGAGCTGGAACTCACTGGGCTGTGCTCCCTCAGCATTACAGACCACAAGCACCTCTGGAGGAAAAATCAGATTTACCCAACAGAAATATTCTACCTGTTGGTAGCGCTGAATTGGGCCACACAGAATATTTTTCAATAGGTATTTTGTCAGCTGATTTTATGTATAAGTACATGCACATGCTGCTGCTAAAAGATGGACTGAGTTCAAAGCTACTTTTGGGTACTGGTAACTTAATAACTGCATTTACATAAATCACCAAGGTTTAAAAATCATAGAAAGAATATTTTGTAGAGCAGAGTTAAGGTTAGCCTTCACAGATCCTGAAAGGAAGAACCCCTTTGTTTTCTAATTGCTGTTGTCACTCTGAAGGGGCTTTGTCTGTGTACAAACCTCAAGTCTTACCATAATCCCAACAATCACATCAATAGTTTCTGGGGAAAAAAAGAAGTAAAAACATAATGGGGAAAAGAACACAACACAACCCCCGATTAGCCTTATTACCAGAAAACCACCCATGGGATAGCTACAAAGCCAATAATTCATCCACTCAACAGCTTGCAGCATGACATCTCTGCCTTTTAAATTTAAAATATTTTGAAGCAGCAACATTTCCTGCCTGTGGTTTTGCATACCCAGTGTTTGAGCCAAAATTATTCCTTAGATTCTCTTGGATAACTTCCTTTTGCAAGGACATGCACATTTAGGAGAAATAAAGCCCACAATTTCTGTAATCGTGCTTTTCTTCCATTTATTTCATACCTAAAACAACCCCTTGAGCTCCTCTGTAGTAACTGGGAGTCACTGTTCTGAAACGCTCCTGTCCTGCTGTATCCTGCAGAAGGAGGGGGAAAATAACCCCAAACACACAACATCAAATACATTTAGAACAAAACAAAAAAGGCATTTTAAACTAAACAAGATAAGGAAATTTAAAATTTTAAATCCTGAGGAGTAAGGAAAACATGAAAAGGAAGGAAGTGCCAAACCTTGACTAAGGAAGCCTTTAGAAGTGGTTTTGTTTGTTTGCAGCTCCTGCTGTACCATCACGACACTCATGAAATCTCAACATGAGGAAGACTTCAGCAAAGAGAGAAGGAGGAGCAGGAAGGAAGCGAGGAAACCACAAAAAGGAGCTCTTGAAGCTTGTGCACCTCTCAAAACCCAACACACCCTCACCTGTCTGGAACAAAACCTACCCATATGGCCAGCTGCACTGCACGGCCCTCCACCAGCATTTTCTTCACTTTAAAATCAATACCTGCAAGTTAGAAAGGGAGGCTCAAAGTCAGAAGGAGAGGCTCGTCAGAAGCAACTACCGAATGCCCGCCGTGGCAGCCCTCGCATTCGCACGATCCCGGCTCCCAAAAAGAACAAGCCCAGCAAGAAGGAGCCCGGCAGGAGTGAGCCCAAGCAGGAACGAGCCCGGCAAGAAAATGCCCGGCAAGAAAATGCCCGGCAAGAAGGAGCCCAGCAAGAAGGAGCCCCGCAAGAAGGAGCCCAGCAAGAAGGAGCCCAGCAAGAAGGAGCCCAGCAAGAAGGAGCCCAGCAGGAACGAGCCCAGCAGGAACGAGCCCAGCAGGAACGAGCCCAGCAGGAACGAACCCAGCAGGAACGAACCCAGCAGGAACGAACCCAGCAGGAACGGGCCCAGCAAGAAGGGGCCCCGCAAGAAGGGGCCCAGGAGGAACGAGCCCAGCCCCGGGCTCACCGACGGTGGGTGTGAGGCGCGGCTCGAAGGCGCCGTCCGTGAACCTCCGCAGGAGGCTGTGGGGACAGAGAGCGCGGCCTCAGCCCGGGGGCTGCGCTCGGGGCTCCCCCGCGGGCCGCTCCAGCACCTGGACTTGCCCACGCCGCTGTCCCCGACCATCAGCAGCTTCAGGGTGAGGCCTGCGGGCTCCATCCCGCAGCGCTCCGGTCCAGCCGCCACCACCGCCGCCGCTGCCGCTGCTGCGCTCCCCGAGCAGCCGCCCGCTGCTCCCGGCGGTGCGGCCCCGGCAGCTGCCGCGGCCCCGCCTCGGAGGCGGCGGCCGGGGCCGGGCGGGGCGGGAGCGGGCCGGGCTGGAGCCGCAGCGCCAAGGGCTCGGCCATGGGCGATTACCAGATCTCGGTGGAGGAGCTGAACGAGCTCCTGTCTAACGGGAGCGGCTGCTACAGCCTGCCCAGCGCGCACAGCAACGAGGTGGTGCCGCGCATCCACGTGGGGAACGCGTGAGTGCGCCGGAGCGGGGGCGCGGGGCAGGCCCGGCCTGGGCGGGCACGGGGGGCGGAGGGGCCGGGCCGGGCCGGGCCGGGCTGGGCTGGGTGGGGTGTGCGGAGAGGCCGGGCCCGTAACGGTGCCCGGCGGGCAGAGGGGTTGGGCCGAGTGCGGTGTGTGAAGGGGCCGGGCCGGGCCGGGCCGGGCCGGGCCGGGCCGGGTGGGGTGTGCGGAGGGGCCGGGCCCGTAACGGTGCCCGGCGGGCAGAGGGGTTGGGCCGAGTGCGGTGTGTGAAGGGGCCGGGCCGGTAGCGGTGCCCGGCGGGCAGAGCGACCGGGCCGGGCCGGGCCGGGTGCGGTGTGTGAAGGGGCCGGGCCGGGTGCCGTGTGTGGAGCGGCCGGGCCGGGTGCGGTGTGTGGAGGGGCCGGGCCATGCCGGGTTCGGTGCCCGGCGGGCAGAGGGACCGGGCCGGGTGCGGTGTGTGGAGTGGCCGGGCTGGTAGCGGTGTGTGGAGCGGCCGGGCCGAGTGCGGTGCCCGGCGGGCGGAGGGGCTGGACCGGGTGCAGTGTGTGGAGTGGCCGGGCCATGCCGGTAGCGGTGCCCAGCGGGCAGAGGGACCGGGCCGGGTCGGGCCGTGACCGTCACCGAGCAGCTCCCGGTGCTTGGAGCCCGGGGCAGTCAGGCTGCAGGACGGGATCTGCTGGATCTCAGCGGGGTTTATGTTTTACACCACATCATGATTTCAGTTATGCTGTCCTATCCTGCTTGTGAAAAACGCCAGTCGCTTGTTCTTAAAATTTTAGAAGTTTAATAGTAATAAAATGGTTATAAAAATAGTAACATAATTAGAGTATTACTAATTTGGACAATTTGGATTAGGACAATATGAGACAATAAAAACAAAGAGTTATGGGCAGTCCGGATACCTTTTTCTGGGCAAAATAAGCCCGAAAAAGGACCCACGTTAACAGAGGATTAACCCTTAAAAACAATAACCTGTTGCATATTCATACACCTCATACATGATGCATAAATTCCATTCAAACACAGGATTCTGTCTGGGCAGTGTCAGCTTCTTCCTCTGAATCCTAACGGCGTCACCTGCCTGTTGGGGGAATAAGTTCGTTTCTTCTGATAATGGAGCAATAAATTCTCTTTCTCTGAAAGATTCAGGTGCCCTGTGGCTGCTATCTCAATGCAAGTCCTTTCTTTAGAAACAGAGTATTCTACATAGCATAGTTTCTATTTTAACATTTTGTTATAACCTAAAACTATATTTAACACACTACTTAAGAGAATTAATACAGCATCACTTTCTAACACAACACATATAATATTCAATTTAATATTTGCAAAAAGCCAATCATAAAATACGCATTTTTCACACTGCTGATTCTCCTTCCCCTTTTTGGTCCATCTCTGTGACATTTTGGGTGTTTTTTTTTAAATACACTGGATCCCTGTACTTATTTTAGGTTTTTACCTCTTAAAGAAATACAACTCAAGACCATAGATTTTCACTAACTTACTTTTAAGCCAAACCAAATTATATTTGTTACAACTAGGACATGCATACCTGGAGCTGGGACTGAAATCATTCAGTGGCCAGCCTGATGTCTGACAGCCACCATCTCCTTCATATTTGTAGTAGTTACAAAATAGTAGTTTTTTCCTGGGGAAAACAAGGAAGTCATAGCTTGGAAGCTGATTTTTGCAGTAAATAATTTAAAAATAACAATCTGTTGCCACATTCAACCATGATTTCTGGATGGGAGTTCCTGTTGATGCTGAACAGTCAGAAATATGCTGATCTATATCATGTTAATTAAACCATATTCTCACTCTACTAAGCATAGGAACTCACCCCTGAATTAACACTTTTTGGTTTGGCCTTGCTCTGTAGGATTTTTGTGTTGAAAGCAGAATTCTCCAGACACTGAAACTTCTCCCCTGGCACAGATGATGTCCTGCCAGATGGAAAATCTGTCAGCATTTGTTTGGGTAATGAAGTCTTACAAATATTTGGTTCATTGCCATAGTTGCTTGGCACAGGCAGCAGAAAATGTAGAAGCTTCAGTCATGCATAAATCTTCATCTGCTTTCACTAGAATTTAAGGGGTGTGCAATCATCAGGAAGAAAGAAATTCTCAAGATGTTCATGGCCTTGAATTACATCAAAATTGTGAGTGAATGGACTCAGAGATTCATATAGATGAAAACTGACTGATTTGGGTGTTTATTTTTTTAGATTACCTAAGTGTCCAGCCACAAGCCCTGGATGCATTGCCATCTCACAGAAACTTGTCCAGAGTGATGCTGCACAAATGCTTATCTGGAGCTCAGCTTAATATTAAGACCTCTTGTATTTGCAATTTAGGAGTTGAGCTGTGGGGAGTTTTAAAAAAAAAATTGTTTCCATATCCAGTTAAACACATACTGAAAACTGCAATCTGCCTAGGCTACCTGTTTTCACACAGTGTGCAGGAACTGAGTTATCCTTCAGCTCAAGCTTTCTGTCTCATTCTGCTGATGTTGGCCACTGGGGCTTAGATTTTACTAGGAGACCACACAGAGTGATAAAACACGTGGGGTTTTTTATTTCCCAGGAAAGTGAGGCAAAGATTGCAAGTGACATAAGGAAAGAATCAGACTCAGAATGAAAAGCAGTGGGATTATGGCAAAAAGGAGTCAATGCTCTCCTGATATTCCTTTAGCTCCCCTTACTGTGGATTGCATCCCAGGGCACAAGCTGAGGTTGGTGCATGGTCACTTGTGTTACTGAGCAGGGTTGTTTAACTGCTTTTTAAATTATGTGGGTAACTGTTAACCTTAGAAGTTAGTGTGTTATCATCTCCAGTATCTCCCTAGTTTAGTCAGAATTTTATGTTCAGAAAGTCAGAATTTTATGCCACAGTAGGATCTAACAGATGCAGATTCACTTTCATGTGTGCATTCCTCAGTGTCAGACAAGAAATCAGCATTCCCTCATGCACAAGTAAGGGACCATGGCTCTGAATGTTTTTGTGAATTTATAACCTGTAGCTAATTCACTTTTGGGGCATATTTGGCATCTATTAACAGAAAAATCCAAGGGTTTGGTTCTCAATACCTAAATACTGAGATAATTCACCAAATTCTAATGGTTTTCTTGACACTTTTTGTCATGCAGGTTCATAGCCAAGAACATAATGAGGCTGCAGCATCTGGGGATAACCCATGTTCTGAATGCAGCAGAGGGGAAATCATTCATGCATGTGAACACTAATGCAGAGTTCTATGAAGGCTCAGGCATCAGATACCATGGCATTAAAGCCAATGACACACAGGAATTTAACCTCAGTCGCTACTTTGAGGAGGCAGCTGATTTTATTGACAAAGCCCTTTCCCAGAAGGATGGTAAGGCAAACTGAAATACCTTTCTACCGTGTTTTCTGTGCACTGCATATGTTTCTTAGTCATTTGCTGCTTAAAATGCTTCTTTGCTCTTATTATCCACAGAACAAGCAAGTGAAAAATTCAGATAAAGGCCCTGAATCAGGCACAAGAAGGCACAGCTTTGTCTTGTGTTTATACATGCAGGTCTCCAGTACCTGGCAAAGGGAATTCTGTAGGGGTGACTTTGAAATGAGGAACAGCTGCTGCATCTTATTATAGTTTCTTTCTGGGAAGAAATGGTTTTACTTTTCCTCAGATGTTTTTAATTTTTCTCTTCTTCTTTTCTAATAAAATATTCTTAAAAAAAAAAGTTGAGGGTCTAGAAGTGGTTTAAGGACATTAGAAATTACAATTTAAAGGCAGAATTGATATAAGTAATACAAGTACTGAAGAGTAGTCACATAACCTGTTAAATGGTTTTTTTTTTCCAAATGTACAGTAAGAATACAGACTGTCACCTTACAGTTTTTATTATATTAAGTCATTACATTATTTTATGTGTTGATTGCCTCTATTTCCCAGGATTGCAGGAAAGTTGAAGGTCATATTTGCAATGTTGTTTATTGCCACATTTCTCTGTAGTGTGTTTCCTCAGAGCAGAAATCCTAGGACACAGTGCAGTGGGACAGATGGTGTTTGTGTTGTCTAGCTATTGCAACATTTCAGTTATTTCTACACATGCTTAATTTCCTTCTTGCTTTCGTGGCTGAGCATTGAATAGGAGCAATGAGAACTCCCACAATTCTAGAAGTCCTTTCTCTGAAATGGGCAAAGGGATTCTGGAGCTGTGATGTGAGTTTTGACAGATGGAAATAAATTCTTCATCCAGTTTGGTGGAGTATGAAAAATTCTAAAACTTAAATGCAACTCTTGCAGTTAGCACTGTGACTCACTGAAACAGGCTGCAAGAGGAGAGAAGGGTTTGCTGTGCCATGACTGCACCTGCTCAGTTTAATCTCAAAAGTTTCAGGGTCAGTAAATTCAGAGTCAATCTGGGTTTGGAGCAGTTCCATTTGCTGGTTCTTTCACTCTGAGCAGTTGTTTACCACACCTACCACTGGTTTTTTAATGTGGTAAACAAAGAGGAACCTTGGAGCTGGGTGATGTTGGAGTCAGGTTTAAGATTAACTGGCTACTCCAAATTGTTCGTTTTGTTGGACATTGAAATATAAAGGAGTCCTTTGACTTTATTCGAATAAAGGGAGAGGCCATAGGGAATTCCCCTGGGATCTCTCAAATTTTTGGAGGATGCAGCCTCCTTTTTATCCTAATTTCCCACATTTCCCTTCTCTCTTTCCCCATTTCTGAGGTACTTCAGAGGTACAGACTTCCCAGAACACCTGATACCAAAGATTTCCCTCTAATGTACAACCCTCCCTTTCAATTTTCCATTCTTACAGAATTTAGGGTTTTTTCTTCCTCATGGTTTCTTTCATCTTTCAATGTCTAATTTCATTTATCAGAAAACCTAAAGTTTATTTGTAAAAGCAAATCTCTTTTTCCATTCATCAATCAGTGCAATCCTCCCCGTTGTTTCTTTTATCCCCCAGTGCTGGTTTTATCTACCAGCAGACCCACAGCTTGTTTGTAAAGACAAATCCACTATTCCTCTGAATACCCTTTGCCTCCTTGGTTATCCAGTAAAACTGGCTCAGCAATTCTTTTCTTCTATATCAAAACTTGCTTCCATCTCTATTCTTCAGAAAACATTCAAAATGTCTACATTCAAAATGTCTACATTCAAATGTCTACATTCAAAAATCTTTCTGCGAAGCACACATATCTGTGAGACTTTCTTGTCAAACTTTTAAAAAGTTAAGGGATAGATTGGTTCTCCTGTATGAAGATGCTCAGCAAAGGAAAGTTTATAATGCAATGTAACCAAAACCAAAGGGTGTCCAGGCCTGCCTGCAGCTGGAGCTGACAGCTGTGGGCACAGCTCTGTCACCCACCACCCTGGCCTGCTGTGACCTCTTGGATCGAATGAATTGCATTTGTTAGAGCCCCTGGAGCCCCACACCCCTCATTTCAGCTCTTACCGACACATTTGGCGCCCAACGCGGCGCTCAACCCCACGGCCCTGGCATTACGAGTCCCGTGCTCTCCCGACCGGCCCTCGTCGCGCTTCCATCCTTCCCAACATGTCTCAGTCTCTCTGCAAGCCTCTCAATGTCCCTGGGCCTTACCCGGGTCAGCAGAGAATGGGGGGAGCAGCCCCACCACGGCCGACTGCGGGGAGACACTCTCTGTGCCCCGAGGGTGCTGAGGGCACTCAGGCTGGTTGCCTTTGCTGCAGCAGAGACAGCAGAGACATCGGTGGAAGAGAAAGGGGCCGACTCCCAGCAGGGGATATTCCAAGGTTTTATTAAAGAGTCCCGAGGGAGCTCCTGTACCTCAGGGGCCTCCTGCCGAGAGCCCCGGGGGATGTCCGGAGTTCACATTTAAAGGGGGGAGGAAACCAACATAGATAAAATCCTACTGACCAATAGGTATCTCTGGGGGATGGGTGCTGGGGGGACAGACATACAAAACAGCGTATGGGGCAGGACTTGGGGGGCTGACCCCTAGCCCCTGGCTAATCACTCGACAACTTGGACCGAAACTTCTGGATAGGGGGCTGGGATGCCGAGGTGACTGACAGAGAGCCAGGGTGGGGGTTTTGGAGATCTCATCCTGGGAAAGGGATAACACAAGTAGAAGGAAAAGGGGGGGGGGGGGGGTACAGTCTGGGATAAACCATTTGGGAAAAATATGGGGATACAACACAAACTACTTCAAAGTATTACAAAATATAAGAACGCACTACAACACCAACGCGCGTCCCCTGCCGCGCTCCCGTTGCCTCGCAGCCTAACGCTGAGCTGTGGCTGTCTCCCCGCAGGCCAGGTGCTGGTGCACTGCCGGGAGGGCTACAGCCGCTCGCCCACGCTGGTCATCGCCTACCTGATGCTGCGGCGGGGCATGGACGTGCGCAGCGCGCTCTGCGCCGTGCGCCAGCAGCGCGAGATCGGCCCCAACGACGGCTTCCTCCGGCAGCTCTGCCAGCTCAACCAGCGCCTGCTGAAGGAGGGCAAGGTCCAACCCTAGAGCGCTGCACCGCACTGGGGGTTTTGGGGTTTTTGGTTTCTCAGAGCTTTAGGGGATGGGTTAGGAGCTTTAGAGACGCAAATTTCAACCGCCCCCGGGGCTGGAATTGCTGCTTGTCTAGTGAAAATATCCGTCTGGAGCTCTGTGATGGTTTCGAGGTGGGACAAAATTGTGTCGCTGTTTGGAGCTGTTGCCATCAAGGGATGTTTGTAGAGGGATAAGTCCAGCTGTCTTCACACACATTTCAGAGCCCCTGCAGACTCCATAGCGTATGGTTTGCATTGACATTGAATGTGATTTGTTTAAGCTTTGTCTTTAGCTTGTCATGACTGATTGATTATATGCAAGTGCTTTATTGAAGAGCTCTGGATGTCAGGGGCACAGACCCAAATCTGACTCCACCATGGGTTCAGGATGAACACAGTTTTATACCCTTATTCTATAACTAGATATTAATTATTAAACTTAAATTGTTCTATTGTATACATTGAGTTCATCCAAGGATTCTTGTAATTTAACGAGCCCTTGGGAACACTGGACTGGGACTGTCCCAGTACCATTCCCAGTGTCCCCAGTGCCCCTCCCAGTGCCCACATTTCCCTGTTCCCAGTGCAAACTGGAGCTGGTGGTTGGGTCCCTGGCGTCCTGCATGGAGCTGGTGCCCAGGATGAGCCCTTGGGGACACTGCACTGGGACTGTCTCAATGTCCCCAGTGCCACTCCCAGTGTCCTCAGTGTCCCCAGTGCCACTCCCAAAACAAAAATCCAATACATTGATTTCATCCAAGCATGGATTTCTGTAATTTCCATCAAACCCCCCAAACATGGTTTCTCATTATTCTTGTTATGATTAAACAATAATTATATCCAACTACCAAACAATCATCACATTTAACAATTACATCATTTATCATATAACAATCATATCTTTTATCATAGTCATTAAATGATTATACAGGTGCAGTTTTGCATGATCCAGTAAACCCTAACATTTTCCCAGGCCCAACTTTTCCAAGTCCCCTGAATATCCCATGATTTTAGAAACATTTTATCCCTGTACTATCAACCAGAGCACCAGCTCCCAAAAGCCCCAACACATCCCTTCACTCACTCTTAATAGGAGCACTGTAATTTCTAAAGCTTCTTTTTCATGCACACAGGTGCCTAAAGTTTGAATGTAGGAGCTTCAAGGAATGGGAAGCATATGTACAAATGCACAGATGCACTCACTTGGAAAATAAAGTGCATGCAGTGTTTTGTGTGGATTTATGCAATGCACAGTGTGAGAGTAAAGCCATTCAGAACCCATGCTTGATGCACTCTGTGTTTCCAAGAATAGTTTTTTATCTTTTCTGTTACAATGGACATGAAATAGTCTGTTATTAAATGCTCTTTTATTTTTATTTCAAAATCGTAGTAGAAAAAATGTCAAGAACGAATGCTGAGGGAAGAACTTGAACAAGGAAGAAATGATATTAGTATTTAGAAGTGTTTGTGGTGGATGTATAATTTAAGTATCCTAATATAATGCCTTTCAAAGCTTATATGGAATTACAGTGTCTTTATCTCTTCTTTGCTATCACTGTTCAGTAACAGAATGGAATGAGCTCACGTGCAGGTTCCTTCCAGCACAGGTGTGCTTACAGAGCAGTTTGCACAAGAACACTCTTGGATTGCTTGCATGGTGTCATGAAATAAAAATGAGCATTGTAATGTACCACACTGTATAGGAAATATTTACATTGTACTCAAATAAATGATGACTTGGTTCTGTTTACTACAGACGAAATGAGTGTTGGGAGAGGGAGCTTTGTTTGCACTGTGCCTGACTTAGTGTGTAAATGTGTACCTGTGATTTACAGCACTGTATTCATGCCAGGGATCTCCCACTGCAGGCTGGAATTGTTGGTTAAACCATCAGAAACCAGGGTGGCTGCTCCATTCTCACCTCTGCTTTAATGTAGTTCTAGAATGAAAAATCTTAACACTGTTTTAAACAGAAACACTTCAATAGTAACACATGTGGTCCCAGATGAAGTTTTGTCTACTCAGGTCAGCAATCAGCAATCACAAAGGCCAGGCAGGCATTGTTTTACAATCAGATATTGTTCAGCAGTCAGAAATCACAAAGGACATCCAGGCATGGTTTTACTGCTGGTTTTGGGGTTGTGTGGTTGCAGGAGTGGGAGAGGCAGGGGAGGCTCTGCACAGCCAGGTGAAGTTCAGCTCCAGAGGAGATTATTCTGCTTGAGCTCCAGTCCTCCTGGTTTGCCTTCCACAGGATGGAGCTGCCACATCAAGGAGCCTTTTCTGTGTTGTGTCCTTCAGGTGACAGTGGAGGGACACTCTGCATGGTGTCCCTGTCACACCTCCACAGCCAGGCAGTGTTCAGGGCTTGCTTTGAACCAGGATGGTTCAGTAATAATAAGCAGTAATCAATTCCACCACCTAATTACACACCCATTTGCTTTCTCCCGTTGATCCATTTAATCAGGAGTAGATGATTTGCTTCTTCAAAATTCCTTGTTACTAATTTCATATTGTGTGAAGTAGGAGTCGTGGCTTTGGAAATAGGAATACTGGCCTTACCTTTTCTACAATGCTGACTTTTCACACTGCAGTCTAATTTATAAATTACCCTTTAAAATTTTTACTTTAAACATAGATTTTTTTTTCTTGTCTCACACCATGTATTCTTAACACCTATTTGCACTATAAGGAAGAAAAAGGGAAATTCACATTGGATGCACTTTATCTTTCACCTGTTACTTGGAAGTCAAAATTCCAGTCCTTTAAAGAGCTAAGAAACCATTAGGCATTAGACCTTTGTTGACCTTTAATAAACCAGAATGGTTTATTAAAATTGAGTCTGTTTACTTTCTGTAGTTGTCAGTACCAAGAAATATTGAAAATCAAAACAGGGGAATGTGTTCTTATAGTCAAGATAATTTTTACTTCATGGGACACTGGTCACTCCTATGGAAACTCTGGCCCATTTGTCTCAGTATAACAAAACTGATTTAGCAAATGTTTTGTGACAGGAGGGTGGAGAGGCATAAGTAAAACAATGTTAGAAATTGTTTTTAAGAGTGAGACAGTGGATCATATTAAAAATCACTGATAGGCAACTCAGCAACGGAGCCATTTCTGCTTTTAGAGCAGGCTAAAAATAGTTAAAATGTCAGACCAGTGCTCCATTAATGGCTCATACCCTTCCTGTGAGTCTGGCTCTCCAAGTACAGCCATGTTGCAAATTCCTCTGCCCATTTGAGCTGGCCAGGAAGGCCTTGTATGTCTGTAACCCACAGTGATTGTGCTGTATACTTCTAAATTTCTCTTCCTCATTGTAGAAGGAAAGATTACATAAAACATGGGAATGAGAGCTTTCTTTCCTTGTAATATGAAAATGAGAATGTATTGGGAAAAACAGAGCTTTTTGTTCCTCTGAAATTGCTGAGCATCTGCCCTTTGCTGTGAGATCTTCCTTACAAGAATGCTAATTTAGGGAGGTACATTTGGAAAGAACAGTTTGTTGCAAACAGCAACGCTCTGTCTCTGATGCCAGAAGCAGAAAATTTTACCTAATTTTATTTTTTTATATTAGTTCTGCTAGTTTACTATGATGTTTTTAGTACAGAGACTGCCTAGTGGAATCTGTCTTAGTTTAGCACAGAAATTTCTCCTAAAATTACTTTCTGGGCTTCACCAAAGAGTAAAACTAGAAACAGAACAAGCCTGAGAGGTGTCTTTCAAGGATTTGCTGGTGAGAATTAGTTTTAGTTATTTATTAATTTCTTCTGCAAATAAATCCTGGAAATAACCAAGTGTTGGTTGTGTGTTTTAATTGTAATTCCTGTGGGCTGATGCTGCTGGCTGGCTGACTCACCAGATGGAGCTGTAGGCTTGTTCTTCTTCCCTGGAGAGCCAGCCCTGACTCCTGACCTGTGCTGGTGTGTGAATCCAGTGAATTCTTACCACTGAAAAGGACAAGCCACCAGAATGGCTCAGCAGCCTCTGGTGGGAAATAATAAGAACCCATTTATTTTGGCTTCTTGCAGATCATCACAGCACAGTGTTCAGACTGTTGTGTTCACTCTGTGACATTGCAGAGTTCTTCTGAGGCAGCTGAAAGTTGATTGGGAAAGGCTGCAGCATGAACAAAAAAAAAAAACCCAAACAAAAACCAAACAACTGTTTGAGAAGCAAAGTTCATGTCAAAACAGAATTCTGATCATGTCAAAATTCAGAATTTTGATCATGTCAAAAACGGAATTCCTGGGCAGTGTGTGAGGTTTGAGCCTTTGTGCACAGAGAATTGCTCCTGCCCAGCTTTGGGATGCTGAGCAGAACCCTCAGGCCCAGGTGTGGGCAGGGGGAGCACCTGGAGCTGCAATGGCTGAAGTGATTTCAGGAGCTGGTTTGGCTGTGCCTGCCTGCATTGCAGGGCTGAATGCCAGTGCCTCAGTTCAGCTGCAGTGCCAGTGCCTCAGGAGAGCTGCAGTGCCAGTGCCTCAGGAGTTCAGCTGCAGTGCCAGTGCTTCAGTTCAGCTGCAGTGCCAGTGCCTCAGGAGAGCTGCAATGCCAGTGCCTCAGTTCAGCTGTAATGCCAGTGCTTCAGGAGAGCTGCAATGCCAGTGCTTCAGGAGTTCAGCTGCAGTGCCAGTGCTTCAGTTCAGCTGCAGTGCCAGTGCTTCAGGAGTTCAGCTGCAGTGCCAGTGCCTCAGGAGTTCAGCTGCAGTGCCAGTGCTTCAGTTCAGCTGCAGTGCCAGTGCCTCAGGAGTTCAGCTGCAGTGCCAGTGCCTCAGGAGTTCAGCTGCAATGCCAGTGCCTCAGTTCATCTGCAGTGCCAGTGCCTCAGTTCAGCTGCAGTGCCAGTGCCTCAGGAGAGCTGCAGTGCCAGTGCCTCAGTTCAGCTGCAGTGCCAGTGCCTCAGGAGAGCTGCAGTGCCAGTGCCTCAGTTCAGCTGCAATGCCAGTGCCTCAGGAGTTCAGCTGCAGTGCCAGTGCCTCAGTTCAGCTGCAATGCCAGTGCCTCAGGAGTTCAGCTGCAGTGCCAGTGCTTCAGGAGAGCTGCAGTGCCAGTGCCTCAGTTCAGCTGCAGTGCCAGTGCCTCAGGAGTTCAGCTGCAGTGCCAGTGCCTCAGGAGTTCAGCTGCAGTGCCAGTGCCTCAGGAGTTCAGCTGCAGTGCCAGTGCCTCAGTTCAGCTGCAGTGCCAGTGCTTCAGTTCAGCTGCAATGCCAGTGCCTCAGGAGTTCAGCTGCAGTGCCAGTGCCTCAGGAGAGCTGCTGCAGTTCAGAAAGCAGCAGCAGCAGTGGATTCAGGCTGAGAAGGAGATGCCAATTGACTCCTGGTGGCTCTGGGTCCTCCTCAGAGCCGAGCACTGCTTTGGGCTCACCTTGATTCCCATTTTGGGGCTGTGCTGAGCCCAGTGATGACCTTACAGAGATGCTTTTGTTGCTGCTGAGCAGGGCTGACACAGCTGAGGCCTTTTCTGCTGGGCAGGGGCTGGGGGTTATTGGTTTCTCGAGGCTGGGATTGAAGGCACTGCAGACCTTAGTCCATGTTCAGACTCGGGTGTTTATTGTTCCACATCAATGAAACAGCCTCACAAACCCTGAGTTCTGCAGCCCTTCGTTAGCAAGGCACAAAATGGCCAACAGTCTCTTGTTCCAAGGTCTTTTAAATCTAAACTATCCAAATAAGAAATGACACCTGGATTATTTTCCCTTTTCACCCAATAACTGATCACTCAAAGCCTGCAATGTGGACTTTTCTGTCCAGTTACAAAATACCACCCAAACCCATGGAGAAGGAGGAAGAAGAAGGTACAGAAGAACATCCAGTCTCCACCCTAAAACCTCCATCTTGCTTAAGATATTATCTCAATATTTATTTCTATATTCTAAATATATATTTATTTCTCTCTCTCTATATATATATATTTATATATATATATTTATTTATATATATTATTATTTATATCTATTTATATCTATATATTTATATTTATATATATTTAAATATATATATTTGTTTCTAATACAATCGAATTTATTATGTTTATTTATAATATAATAAATGTATTATTATAAACAATTACAATTTATTCCTAATTATTATAAATAATTACTATTTATTTCTAATATAATCAAATTTAATATACTTCATTAAAATATAATGAACACTCTCTACCTGATAACTCTTTTTGTTTTTTCCTGTGCTTCATTAAAACTACAAAAATCAAATTTTTTTGGGAGGGAAGCAGCTACAGGGTGTGAAAAAATGTTTTTGTCGCCAAGGAATCTGAATGTCTGAGATTTGGGGTTGTTCCTGGCATCTGTTAGGCTGCCCTCCTTCTTATGGACAAGAAGTTTTAAGCCTCAAGCTAAATATAGCTTCTGTTTTTTTTTCATTCAGAAATTGTTTTGGTGTTATTTCTCCGTGTGGGTTATACAGATAAATATAACAGTTAATAACAGTTCATATATAAGAGTTTATATATATATATATATATATATATATATATATATATATATATAATATCTATAAAAATATATAATATATATAATATATATTTTATATATATATATATTTTATATATATATATATATATATATATAAGTTCATATATACAGATTAAGTGCTTGGGTGAAGCTACATCAAGAAGATTTTTCTGTTTGATGTGACAGTTGATCACTCTAAATGAGATCCTCTCTAGTGGGCCTGCCCCTGACAACAACAGCTTTTGGAAATATTACATGAAAAATTAACAGAAACT